ATTTTCATATATTCAATTTTCATTTGAAAATTATAGTATTTAACATTTTTGGTGTGCTTAACTGAGATCTTAAATTTATCATTTTTATTCTTATAATTGTCAAAGAATGTTTTCTGTAGAAACTAAGTAGAAAATTACAGTAACTATGACTTTTTATAAAAAGTGTTTTCATAAGGACATTGATGTTCTTATTTGAAATCAAATAGTTGGAAGCTGGTATGATGGTTTTAGTGTACACTTTTAGCAGAATTAAGTAATTGATTTAGTAGAATTAACTGCATTTGTGAGTACTTATGCTTAAATTGACAAAGAAAACGTTGTCTCCTTAGTGAAGTTGCTTTAACAGTTTATAAAAATAAAAACACTTGATTTTTCAATGAGTTGATTATTTTTTTAAATTGTGTATATGGTCTATATAGGTACAAATTGGATATGTCTTTTAAAAGCCTAAAGGAAAAAAGACAAATGTTTGTAATTGTTTTCTTTGCAAGGTACACACTATAATTGCTATATTTAAATATTTGAAAGCCTCCATATTGCCACATGAGCACCTGTAACAAGAGTACCAAATGAGAAAAGTTTCTATATTTAAAATTCAGTTTAGCAAATTTACATTTTCTATTCCCTTTTCTAACGTTCTCATTCTGACAGATCACTACTTTAAAGCAAAACACAAACCACGCGTTTATTTGACTGTTGTGAAGAATTAAACGTGAAAAGACGAAATGCTGTGGCTATCACTTTTCATTAAAGCTGGGGTTTTAAAATGCAAACCAGATCAACATCAACACAAACCCTGGGAGTTTAATTTATGTACTGAACGAACCAGCTTGTTTTTAAAGAATACTTTTTTTTTTTAACTTTGGAAGGAACTTGCACGTTTATCTCATTTGATCTTTGCACTAGCCGTGTGACCAAGAATTATCTCTATTTTACTGATGAAGAAATTGAAACAGAGGCTTAATTGACTTGCCTAGGCTAATTAGTGCCAAAGATGGTGTTAGAATTCTGGGCATCTGTGAATTCCTGTGTCCTAACCCCATTAGCTCTAGATCCATAGTGTTATTCCAGGCCTCTGTCCTGCCCCATATTCTAGAATGTAGCAATGATGTGCTGTGGTTGGAATCTATAGGCTTGCAAGAGCCAAATGTGAAATATTTAGGAATTTTGTAAACTGCCATTAAACCCCTCATAACTTGAAATTGGCCATTGTGGGAATACTTATATCATGGAAATCAGTAGGCATTACAGATCAGCCCCCACCCTCAGCTCTGACCCAAGAATTGGTTTATCAGCATACTACTGATTATATCTAAGTGCACCTTGAAGAAGGAAAACAAACAAAAAACAGAATACAACAACCTAGCATAAATGTAATTTCGTAAGTGTGGTACTTATCTAGGACGATATTTGCTGCTTAATTTAGAAATTTGCTTTTAAGCAGTGGATAAATATGAGCAACACCATCAGGAAAGCTTGAATTAAACTTGAGTGTTTTGGGGGCCGGCC